CACACACACACACACACACACACACACGCACACACACACGCACACACACACACACACACACACACATACACATACACACACACACCGGGGTCGTCACTATATGCGTTTTCGCATTTGCATATTATGCAAAAACGCATAAAAACAGATGCGAGACAATGGGAAACCGTGAAAGACTCATTTCAAGACATTTGCTCTGTGCTATTTTTGGCGCGATGATCCAAATCAACAGCTGTGCGCACCAAAGCTGCTGGTGCGGTCATGCGTTTTACGCATACCTTAAAGTAATCAGATCATTAACAGTATGCGTGGTCGTTGCTTTACAGTTTAGGTCATTTACCCCATTTGTTGGGAGAGGAGTGTCGGGTAACAGCTAGAATAGTAATACAGGATTGCGGAACAAAAAATCCTTGTGAAATTTCAGCCTCCTCTTCGGTCTGTTCCTCGAAATCGTTTTCCTGTCAATAAAAATTTCCAAGTTTCTCTTGGCGTCCATACCCAGATGCAAGTAGACAATGGTTTTAATTGTTGAGGTCTCACGTGAGATAGGAACATCCCATGAAATTTCAGCTCCTAGCTTTTACCGGTTGCTGGCTTGCAAATGGGCAACAAAATTCGAACACACACATAAAAACATACACGCACACACATACATGTGCATGCACCCGCCTACTGATAACTTCTCGTCAGTACGCGTTTGTATGAATTTTGTGCTATGCAACAGCTGCACAAAACGCGTATTGTCATGGGATTATCTGTGTGTGTTTGTGTGCATGTATGTATGTATGTGTGTGTGTGTGTGTGTGTGTGATGCATTTTATCCACAACTTTCAACTAGGGAATCACAAAAGCTGCGAAGCTGAAAATTTTAGGAAATGTTCCCCGCCCACGTGTGACTCCGCAAATTTAATTTCAACTCTTCTCAACCCCTAGGTATTACATACGACCCTGTCAAATTTTTAGAGGTGAAAATTATTATCTCGGGAACTACGAAAGCTAGGAAGCTGAACTCCTCAGGTAATGACACTTGCCCATGTGTGACTCAGCAAATTTAATTTCAGCCTTTCCTTGCCTCTGGGTACCACGTACGACTCCGTGGAAGCCCTTGTGAGCCACCAAAACTAAAAAGCTGAAATTCTGCAGCAGTGTCTCTTCCTCAAGTACAATTCCGCAAGTTTAAATTCAGCTACCCCTACGCATAAACCCGTGAAAGTTTTGGTGGGGAAAATTATCTCGTTAACCAAGAAAGTTTTGAGGCTGCGTCTTCTGCCACGTACGACTCCGCAAATTCAAATTCAGTTTTCATGTACGCCTGGTTCTTGACATCCCCGTGAAAGTTATGGCGAGAAAAATTGTCTCGGAAGCCAGAAAAACGAGGAGGTTGATAATTTCAGGAGGATGTTTTCTACCTATGCAAGAGCCTCACAAACTCAAATTTAGTCCTCAAGTATGCCGAGGTCTCATGTACATCCATTCGAATGTTTTAGCGCAAAATCATTCAAAAACCAGAAAATTAGGAGGTTGAAGTTTTGGAAGGGATTTTACCTAGGGTCTAGGGTTTCAAATTCAGCTTTCATGTATGCCAGTGCTTCACGCGTCGGTATGTGAAATTTTTAGTGGGAAATTTCGCAACTTAGGAACCGCACAACATTTCAACTATTTTTGCACCAACCAAATTGCAAACCAGTGAAAATCCTTAGCAGGCAAACATTTGCTGGGCTAAACTGCACAAAACACATGATCGCACCGGCTACTTTGTGCGCATCGCTATCAAGAATCATCACAGAGGCCATGCTACAGAAATGTTTAGAAGCAAATTACTAGTTTCGTACTGCGAAAAGTCTTGAAGTTCAGTTTGTTTTGTACTCACAACATAAATATTCAATTCTGTTAGTGAAAAAGTTCATTTTTTAAGGGTACAAAAGATATAATCATTGGCGATGCGCACCAGGTAGGCCCGTGTGATCATGCGTTTTTGCAGCATTTCGTGCTGTAATGAGATTGCTCGGAAACTCACTAGCTAGTATTTATGAAATACTGACGCTCGAAGCTCAGAAAGTCAATTATAAAGTGGTTATTAGGGAACATTCCATTAAAATTTAAGCTTTCCAGCTTTCTTAGTTCTCGAGTTAGCCATTCTCCTGCCAAACATTTTCACGGAGTCGTACTTGAGAAACACGCACAGAGAGGGGTTGAATTTAG